CACCCGAGCCGCAGTGGCATTGCGAGTGTTTGCCAACTGTGCAACTATGTTTATGTTTATCGCGGATTGAATGGGAATAGCTGTCGCTACTGGCGGTCCACTTGCGGGTTAAATATTTGCTGAAGCCCAGCGATTACTGCATGATTACAAATTGTATCTCAACTGCATGTATTTGCCATTGTCTGTGTTGCCTCTGCGGCCTGCTTATTGCTTGCTGTCTGCTTATTGGTAAATTATGCGCCAGAAATCTAACCATGAGCTGGCGCAAGCGAATCGATCCAAATAGCTGTTGAGATTGTTAGCCCATTGGCATGACCTTTGTTTGGCATTGTCTCCATGTGTTGCCCGATAAGTGAGCCTGATAATGCCGAAGTGCATTTCGCACACCTTTTGTTGCCAGCATTTTTGTCCATTAGGCAGTTGCCTTTATTACTTTTTGCACATGTTGAAAAGTTTGTTAGCAAACAACATTCCAGTTCATTTGTTCTTTACAATTCAACACTTTGCTGCTGAATGTGGACACATGCATATATATATATATATGTTATATATATGTACATCGATTATGGCCTGGCCGAAATGCTGACCCATTTATAATTCACATTCACAGCTATTCAACGGCTGCCATTTGCTTTCGTTATTTGCTGCATACTTTTAAGCTGTCAATTTATTATAGACCACTTTTAAGCTGTCTATTTAATATTTCGCCATGTTTTAAGCACCAAATGCTGTTGCATGCTGTGCCGGACTGTGGCCCATTTATTATTGATATGGCGCTGGCAATAGGCAAAGGCAATAGGCAACACTTTAAGCGCACACTTTATGCCACAGAATGGCCTCAAATGTTATCTAAATGGGCAGCCAGCCACGTGAATGTGTGTGGGTGTGTGTGTGTCTGTGCGTGTGTGTGTGAGTGTGTGGGCAGCTGTCTTACCTTTTTGGCCTTGGCATCAACAGCATCGACAGGGGACACTGCAAAAGATACAGATGCACAGATACAGAGTTACAAAGGGTGCACAAATACAGAGGATACAGGAGCTGAAGTATTGGTTAGCACATGTGTGTGCTGGGCGGAATTCAATTGCAAAATGTCGAAGACGTTCGTTCTGCTCAAACTGGCAAAACTTACCCGCTATAACTTTTCGACTATTTGCACTGGCTGCACTGACATGCAAAGTAGCAGAAAAATTGTCTGGCAAAGTTGCCAGCCAGACGCGCAGACAGACAGCTACGTATAAGCCCCACACACACCCTTTTGCTCAATGCCAACAACTTTTTATACCAGACGCATAAAGTAGCTCGAGCTGCTGCAGCTCTGACTGTATCTGTATCTTGTATGTTGTTGCAGCTTGAAGCTAGCTGCGGCTGCCTCTGCTGCTGCTGCTGCTGCTGCTGCTGCTGCTGCTGCTAAAGCTTTCGTTTTTGGCTTCTCGCTGGCGTATCTTAAAGATTTTTAACAGCACACAGCGCAAACTTGTCGAAAATACTCGTATATACGAAAATTGTTTAACAAGTTGAATGCTGCCAACATTGAACTGGCAGAAAAGAAAAAAAATGGGAAAAAAAATTAGAAACAACTTTTTCACCTGCTCAAGCCGAGCTGGGCCGGCCTGCAAAGTTTTCACACCGAGCCATAAGTTTTGTCGCTCTGTCGTTGCTTTTTAGCCAACTGCAAATTCCAGCAGACGCTTCGGCTTTGGCTTTAGTTTCAGTTTCATTTTGCAGCTTCAGTTTCTCAGCTTTTAATTAAATAATTTCTGCTAACAATGGCAGCAGAAGGCGGCAATAAAATGTTTTTCAGTCTTTCTCAACTGAACATTTCATATTTGATTTGGCTTTACGTTCTGTGCAATTATTTCGGCTGGCAAAATATTTAACTGCATTTCCTATTGATTTTACTGCTTTGTAATCAACTTGGCTACCTGCAGGCAGCAGCCAGGAAATTGACGATCTCCTGCAATTGTTGTGCCTTGCCAAAGCCTGAGCTGCAGCCACAGCCGAAGCTGAAGCTGACTCTCAAGCCAAAAAGCCATTGCCATAGCCATAGCCATCCCATAGCCATAGCCATGGCAATAGCCAGCAGTCATCCAGGAAGTGAGCGCAGCTGCATTTGTCTATTTTTCTACCGTCTTCTTTGCACACCCACTCACACACACACACTCACGCATGGATGAGAGGGGTGGGAGGGGCAGCGTTTATAGCAATTTTACCTGACTTTTGCAGCTTTGTTTGCGCTTGGTCAATAAATGAGCGTAATATTAAGACATTGATTCGAATGGCTAAAACGACATTGCTAGCTCAGTTGAAGCAGAAAAATGCAATGCAATGTTTTCCGTTAACTTTGATTCGTATGGTCAATAGAAGACCGGACAGCCTAAGGCGTTTTTCCTGCATTTCTTCAAGTGCAGCCACCAACTAGCAAAACGTTTTCTAAAATCTGGTAAACAAAAACTCAACAGAAACTTGACCAACAGATAAAGTTTAACAAAACAAGCACTCGTAAACTCTTTAACCAGGATCTGAATAACCTTTTCAGCAACAGCTTTAACCTGGTGTGAATATCCACTCTCTCAAAATTATATAGCTGATTTTTAATCATTTTAAATATATATATTAATCAGGAATATAAGCAAATCCCTTACGTAAAAGTATTCGTAGTAAAAAGTTTTAAGAAGTATCGATATAAGTGCCTTAATAAGAACTTAAATGTACCCTCAATAAAATGTTGTACCGAAATGGTATGTGTTGATGGAAAATGGAGCATATATTTGACAAGTCTATTATTATTCTATTAGATAATGTCAATGAAAATAAGTCCATAACATATGCCTGGAAAATCAAACCGAAGTAGACGCAGCTTCAAAACAAATTTAAAACTTAAATAGACGTTATTGCGCAGTGCTTACCTTGAAGTAGGCAACAATATTTTGCAGCTCAGTTGCAAGATGCTTCACCAAATGACAGCACAAGTGTGTGCTATGGTTTTTAAAAAGTCAACTAACCAAACTTGCTGGACCCCTCCACACACAGACACACACACACACACACACGCACACACACAGGCGCGCGCTCAGGTAAGCACACAGAGAATTTGTGACAAAGCTGCAGCTGCCTGCAAGCATGCAGCACTTTGACATAGATGAAGTCTACCTGTGTGTGTGTGTGTGCTTGTGTGGCCAACGTGGAGCAGAGCGAGCCAAAGGCTAATTCAAAGTCAGAGCGCGCACAATGCGCACAAACAGAAGCGTACAACGTCGCGCCCCCTGCCCAACCGTCTTCCTACCCCCCGCTATCCATTGTATTGTATTATGACAGCCGCTGCACCTGAAAGTATGCAGTGATTTTTTCCACATGCGCCTCGCTCTTAAAAACTGTAAACAAAAACAGGCAACAATAGAAAGGTGGCAATAGTTGACAACGACGCTGTGGCATTCCAAGTGTTCATTGTCCAGAGTTAGCCGCTGCACGCACCACTCCGTGCAAGTGTGAGTGTGTGTGTGTGTGTGTGTGTGTATTTCGAAACAGTTGGCATATCAACTGGTCGGACATGGTGTAAACACGTTTAATGTTGTTGCCCCAGTGTTGCACGGGTGCAGTTGCTCCTGCGTCGGCTGCATTTGCACTGTTGCTGCGTTTAATTTAATCTACTAGTCGAGTTGCTACCTTGACATGGACAAGCCCAGGCACCTCACAAACACACATTCAGACTGCTTAAAGCGGGTGCGTGCGTCTGTTTGTGTGTGTGCATGTGTGTTGGCTGCTTGAGTGCACCGCAAGTCCATTTAACTTAACTTTGGCCCTACATGCACTGGCATCGGTTGGATTTTTGGTCCGGACTAGCTTCTCTCTCTCTTTCCCACTCTCTCTCTCGGTTTCCCTGTCTCTCTGCATCACTCAAACGCACGGCCAAATGGTGACAGGGCTGCGTGTCCATATACATATGTGTGAATGTGCGTGCCTTTATCTGTGTCGGTATGTGTCTGTGGGCAACGTAATTTGCATGGTCAGCATACAACGGCAACGGCAGCAGATGGGCCAGGGAATACATATAGAATGGGGGGATGGGGCATAGTAAGGCAGAGGCAGAGACAGAGGCACAGGTCCAGGTCGAGCGTCCCTTGCTTAATTGCATGGTACTGCATTGGCAACTTCATGCTACCGAAATCCAATTGCTGCTACCAAGAACTGTTTCCTACTTTCGGGCCTGTTACGTCTGTTGGCGAGTTTTCTTAGTGTCAATCCTTAAACATGCATATTGAGTTTTGTTTTTCAATAATTTTTAAGCGTTAATATCAACAAAAGGCGAGGTACAACTTTAAAAACTTGATGGCCAGGTGATTATAGGTCTGACGTGTTCCAGAGGGACACATGTGCATGCGTGTGTTCACGTGATCTGAAACATGTGCAGCACTTTTTACGGCTTGCAGCAACGTAACGTTCAAAAAAAAGTAGTACATTGCACAAGTGCCGCGACACGCAAAACATTAAAAAGGGATTTTTTGTTTTTTTTTTTCGGATTGTGCGTCCTACAGAGTCAGAGTCAGGGAATCAAAATCAGACCGTGTACATATGTATGTTTGTAGTATGACAAGAGCTTCGTAAAAAAAAATGGCAAACAAATGGTGCGCATTTGCTGCCGTTTTTTGTTTCACTATCAACCATACGAATCATTTGCAAGCGATTTAATTTCAATTGCATGGGCGTTAATCAATGACAACAAAAGCCAACTGCCATTGAAAATCAACAATAAAGCCGATGCATAGAAAAAGGCTGAAAGCAAACCAGACAATTAAATTGACAAAAGTTGAAAAATCATCAAATAGATAACAATGGCAAATAATGTCAGAGTAGAAATTTAAATGCGCGCCAATGTCAATACAATATGATTACCAACACTGGCCTCGGCGCATTTTCAAGCACTTTTATAATCTTCTTGCCGCCACTGCCTATCGAAAGCATATCGTTCGAGTTGCAGAGTGTATCAGCCTGCCGCCACCAATTATTACTACCAGAACGCATTAATTCACAAACTTAAAAAAATAAATATAAATAAACATAGGAGCAGCTAATTTAGTCGTAATTAACATGCACTCAGATTTGTGATGGCAACTTTAAGTAATGGTAAGAATGCAGCTTGATTTCATTGCAAGACCATGCATTAATAACTAATCGTTCAATTACTTACGTTCCAATTCGGAAAAAGATACAAAAACAATTAATATTTAAACAATCTTAAAGGCTCTCACATTAAGCTATTATCGTAAAACGTGAAAGGCAATCAAAAACAAAACGGACACTTAGGACAAGGCATAAACAAGATATTGGGAAGATTATCTATTTTTGGCGGCGACTATTTAACAACAAAAACAAATGAACGGCAATCGCAAATTTAAATCGCTGCGGCTAGTGCGCTTCGGCGATGTGCTATATGATCAGCAAAAGCGTCTGATAATGCTGTGCCGCTCCTGTCAACGACATTACCTATCAATGGAAGCATTCCAGACGCATCTAAGCAAATGCATTGCTGTCAAGCACATAGTCACGTCCATTGATGAGCTGCAGTATGACGAGGAGAAGCGGGAGACAAGGCTTGTCAATGGAAAGCAAGAGGTGGGTGTGTCGACAAGTATTATAAGCAAACTAACAACTGTTATGTTGCCCTACAGCTGCTCATCTATGAGCCGGACGCAGTGCGGAGCATAAACAGCGTGAACTGCGACATAGACTGGGAAGCGGAGCTTGAGGATCCGCGCTGGTACACAGACGACACTCGGACACTGCCAAACAAAGCAAAACAATCGCCCACCAATGCCAAAGAAAATGTGGCCAAGAGCCGCACGCGCAGTCTAACAACAAAGGATCTCGAAAAAGAGAAGCAGCCGCATCCGCAGTCGCCCGAATCCCCAGCCAAGCGTATGCGACATTCCACGCCAAAGCGCACCATTCTCACGAATCAACAACAACACAAATTGCGCGCCAGTTTGGAAATGCCCGCAGTGACAGCTAAAATCAAAAATGAAATGTATGTTGTGCAAAATATCGTAGACGACTTAAGACGTCTGGATGCAATGAGAAATGCCCGTCCAGCCAACGCAGCGGCAACAGCAACAACAACAACCAGTCCAACTGCAGCAAGTCCACCCATGGTTTCCATACCCATGCCAGTGGCCAATACGGCCAACGGCGACACCCAACAAATACTCAACAAGCTGCGAGCCTGCGGCGTGGAAGTCAAGCGCCGCAATACACGCGAAGCTATGGACAGTTCCAGCGAAGCAGATGCGAAAAAGCAGCTCGCCCTGGATATAATGCGGAAATTGCAATCGAATGGCATCAAGTGCACCAAAGTAAACAATGCTAAGCAATAAACCTAGAAAAATTGTATGCAGCAGCTTCAAAATAAATTTGAAAACGCCCGCCCATTCCCAGTTATACTTAATTAATGAATGAACAAAAACAATGAACAAGCTAAACATTACTCGTCCCGATTATGGGCTTTCAGAAAAGTTTTCTGTAATTATTGAACTAAAAAGCTTTCACTTATGCAAGTGCATGTTATTTGCAGAATGGCAATGCTACTATTTATAGTAATTGTTTCGTTTTTCAAGCGCTTAGGGGAAAAACAAATTTAAACAGCTGTTATAAACAATTGAAATGCCAAACCCGATAGTAGCCCGACTCACGGACTCGACTGGTGCCGTCTCTAGCTGCTGAACTTAGAGATGAGCGATATTTCGAGTCACTCTACCCGCGACATGTTAATATCAATGACTCATATTAGGTTCTCCATTGCCTATTACAAATAAAGCAATACAAAATATTTTAGCACTAGTCCAACATTTTTATGTTTAACTGACAAAATGTCATTTGAAATATTATGTCACATTCAAGACATGGGATACTCGTGATGTATGTGCACGTGCCTGTAACGGTTTTATATATCGCACATGTCACGCATCTCTAGTTGATTATTAGTTGGTGCCGCACGCGTGCGTTTCAAGTCGAAAGAAATTTGTTAAAAATTGTCTGGCAATAGCGTCTTTCAGTTTGTTTATATTTTATAAAAATTTCTAACTGAATCCGCCAAATTCGACTGTCGCGTGTGGCTAGCAAACGCAGTGGCACGAAATCAGGTAAGTCTGCTCAGAGCCATTGGCTTACATAATTTTCGGGCTTTTGCGGGCCAAATTTGTTGTGCTTCTATAGATTTGTGTCGAACTGCAGGCAGCCAATGACATCATACTTAATTATAGTGCTTAGGCGCCCGAAACTGCAATAGCTAATGAGTTGCATACTGAATACTATATGGATCTATAGTGGAGCATTTTTTAATAGTTAGGATATCGTCTTTTATGTCAAACTTAAAAGTTCGCAGTGATAACATGCGGGCGTTTAGAAAACAAACTAAGAATGGATTCCTCCAAGCAGAAACTTTAGTTTTAGGTCAGTTATGACAGGACAGATCCAATATCTATGCAGGAATATAAAACATATGTGCCTGTCAGTTAGGATTCTGGATCAAAAAGCTTTTCAGTGTTTCATAGGGAAAAACAATTTGGCATTTCAACTACAATGTAAATTTTTATTTTTTAAATTGAAAATTGTATTTGTAACTACACAGAAATACTTGTTTTTGCCATCTGCTTTGCACTTTTCCACTTACATTCTTCACAAGGTTTGAGAATTTCGCCTAAATGGCTAATTGAATTCGTTTCAGTTGCATTTCTCATTTTCGAACGGATGCCCTTTTCTTTTCGCTTTCTTTTTAAATGTGTTATTTTAGGCTAAACTATTTAGTGCATGTGCCCATTTTCTTTTGCTCTTTAATAAGTGAGTTGCATTTGTTTTTTGTTTTTGTTTTTGTTTTGTTTTAAACATTAACTTAAAGCTGCTTACTGTTTAGTGCCTGTTTTGAAGTTTGCACACAAATGCAGGACACTCAACTTTACTCAACATTTATGATACTTAATAGATACGAAAATAGATGTAGATATATATGCTATATATATATATATATATATATATATATATGTTTGTAGGCAATATTCAATATTCAGTGTGAACTAAATGCGTTTCATTCACTTGCTTTCACGTTTACAATTCATTTAAGATAAACTAACTTTAAATTTGATATACGCGAAACGGCCGTAGAGTTTCTAGAGAGGAGCTGCCGCTGCTGCTGCTGCTGCTATTCGAGGGAGCGACGTCGCAGCTGCCTGCGCACGCTGCCCATGGCAGCGCTGCTGCGGTCGAGCAGCTCGTTGGAGAGCCGCGCTAGTAGGGGCAGCTCTCGCATGGAAACATTCACCGATGGCAACGGCGCCAGATGCTGCTGCAGCTTCTTAATGGAACTGGCTGGGTTGCCGGGCTGATGCTGCGGCGTGACGGGCAGGCTGTGGGCAACTGAGACGGCGGTGTTTATTTTGATGACAACATCTCTGGCGTCGACATCGTCCACGTCGCTGTGACGCTTGAGCGCCTCGGCGCCCAGTGAATCTGGTCGTAGCTCTGTGGATTTGGCGCGCTCGGTTTGCTGATGCTTGGCGGCCTCCTTAAGCATCATCAGATGATCGAGCTTGTCCACCGTAGCCTTCAGCTCGTGCTCCCACACATCATTCTGCTGCTGACCGTCGCCACCTTCGATGGGCCGTACTGCGAGTATTTTGACCTTTTGGCGTAATGCCTCCAACTGGCGTTCATCGACAACGCCGCGTAGCTCGTTGCCCAGGCCTGTTTCATCGTAGTCGCAAACATTGTCCTCCTCCGCTTCGTCCTCTGTTTCGACGGCGGACTGCGTAGTTGCGGTGCCAGCGCCCAGAGACATTTGGCTGCCCGCTATCGATGGATAGTCGCATTTTTCCAGCTCTAGCTGGAAATCTGGCAGCGATGGCAACGCACTGGAGGTGGGAGTATTGAGTTCGGCGCCCACGCCTGGCTCACGTGGTCCGGGCGGAGGCGGCGAGCCGCTTAACGCTGGATAATCGCCGCGCTGCCTGTGTATGTCCTCGCTGATACGCTCCAGATTGCGCAGGGCCGTGGAATAGGTCGTCTTGGCACAGCCCACCTGCTGCTGGAGCTCCTGTATGCGATTCTTTTGGGTCTGCAGCTGATCCTGGCAGACCTGCTTCTCCTCAAAATACGGGCGCGACTTGTTAATGCTGCGCCTGAAGCGATCCTCCAGCTGCTGCAACTTCTGCTCGGCGAGATGAAAGAGCCGCGTGCGTCGCTGGTGTTCCGCATGGCAATCGGCCTTCTGTTTCTCCGCGTCCATTACCTTCTGTGTGGCATGATTGAGCATCTCCTGCCAGGCATTGTCGAACTGCCATTCGTGAGAGTTGGACATGAAACGCTGCTCGGCCAGCGCCACCGTTTCCTTAGCCGCCGCATGGATTTCTGTAAAAAAGCACTATCTATTAGCATACGCTCCAATTGGGATTGGCGGATTTGCTCACCATTGGCACGCTGAAATTTGACTGCCGCCTGTTGGCATTCGATTTGGGCCTCGCGTGCCTTGTCCAGCGCCTCGTAGTAGGGACGCGCCTTCTCAATGCAGCTGCCCAGCTTCTTGGAGGAGAGCTTCAAGCGACGTGTCGACTCATTTAGCAGTATGCGAAACGTCGAGTTCGCCTCCTATGAATGGTTAACAAATTATTGAGTGCTGGCTTTGGGGGCATTTAGCTTTGATTACCTCCAATTCAATTTCCAGCTTATTAATCTCATCCGTAGCGCTATTGAGATTCTCCAGTTCAATCTGAAAACGAAATCATCTTTAGTAAGGAACAAAGGCCACCATTTCTTAAACTGATTGTTCTGTTTTATTCGAAGAAAGACTCCAATTTTTGACAGCTAATATTCGAATTTAATAAACTATTACGGAAAAGTATGTTACGTCAAGTATGTCATGTGTCGCATTAAATTATGGCTCTAAAAAACAAGAGAAGAAAGAAACCTGAATTTTTGCACATACGAAAACCACTTTGCTAAAATATGTTTGCTTCACTTTCGAAATGAAAATTAGTTCAAATATACTTTGTTTTGTTTTCATATTGTTACACGCGTGGCTCCCTTACAAATATGTAAATATATGTTTATTTTATTTGCAGTTGCTGCCAGCCAACTAACACCAACATCATCAACACCTGCCCCACCAGTTCCTCTACTGAAGAACCCACAGAAATGTCCAAGTCGCCAAATGGCGGGTCCTCGCCCAAAGATCCGAACAGTAAATACGATCTGAGCAAAATAAATGCACGCGTGGATCGGGTGAACGTGAGTGGCCTGCTCCGCACGCACAACGACTATGTGATGCGCGCCGCTGAGGGGCTGTTCAAGGCGAACAACTTTCAGCAGCTGATGCTGGAGGCGATGGCGGCCAAATCGTATCTGCATGAGCTGGGCATATTCAAGGATGTGAGCGTGCACATTGACATAAGTCGCGGTGCGGATGCCACGCCCCAAGGGTATGAGGTGACGCTGAAGGGCAAGGAGTACACACGCATCATGGGCTCGGCGGGCACGGAAATTGGCCAGAACGAGGGCTCCCTGCGCACGGAGCTTACCATACCGAATATACTGGGCCGCGGCGAGAGCATATCGCTGCAGGGCAGCTACAGCAGCACCAGAGCAAACGATCTGCAGCTCAAATTCTGGAAGCCCTTCTTTCATACGCGCTTCCGAGAGAATCGACCCGAGTAAGCCACCAATTCTATAGCTTACAATTTAAACTCTGAGCTAATATAAATAATTTTAATCTGTGCCCAAATAGGATATCGTTCAGCATATTTCGGCAGACAGATCGATATGACATCAGCTCGTTTCAGACAACTAATCTGGGCTACTTGCTGGACTTTAGCGCACACACAATGCTGGGCGTGGATGTAAGTTGAACTAGGATAATAGCTTGCATAGATTTGACAGAGTTTATCAGCTGCATTTTTAATGCGTTTCATATCACAGAGGTACTAAAACCAAAACCATTAACATTTGTCTATTATTAAATAAAACAGCTGTTAACATTTGTCTGTTATTCTAAGAACAGCTGTTAAAAATGGCTATAATAACAGCTGTTAATGATAAACCAACCCATAACAGAGTCTTATTGACAATAGCTCAAAAAGTCGAATGTCGAATTGTAATCTATCTATTTCTACTTTCTGCTTCTATACAGCTCACACACTCCCTGCAGTATGAGAACTCCATCAGGGACGTGGGCCTGTTGAACAAGTCGGTGCCCTTCGCAATACGCGATCACAGTGGACCCAAGTTGGCATCGCTGCTGCGTTATTCGCTAATCTTTGACAATCGGGATGCCAGCGTGTTTCCCACGCGCGGCTTTCTGCTGAAGTCCGTTAACGAGTATTGCGGCTTGGGTGGCAACATTGCGTACACCAGCAGCACGGCGCACGGG